AAGAAATGGAACATAGGGAAAAGGGAGTTCTAAGACATAAGGAAGAGTGGGAAAGAAAGCTAAAAGGAAACGAAGTGTGTGATAAGAGTGTCCTAAAAGTATTAAAAGGGCGGGAAAAGCGAATTACAGAAGAAGGCGAAAAATGGAAAAATAGAATGCTAATAGAAAAAATGGAGTTGGAAAAGAAAATACTAAAAAATAAGGAAGAGGGGGAAGAGAGAATGCTAAAAGTAATTGAAAAGTTTGAAAAGGAAATGCAAAAAGAAAAGGAAAGTGGGAAAAGTAAATGATAAAAGGAAGAGTTGGAAAAGAGCATAATGGAAAAAAATGAAAAGTGGAAAAGAGAAGAAAATATGAAACTTAATGAAGAAGAAAGTAAGTTGAATTCAAAGTGGAAAAAAGAACTGAAGCTTGTTAAATTAATTTTTATATATTTTAACATTTTTATTTTATTTAGCTTTTTATTCTCTACTTGTTTTATTTAATATTAAATAAATATTGTAGATAGCATCATTTAATATTTATATATTTCTGCTTCTATTAAAGATGTGGAATAACATAACCCAAAATGAAATATTCCTTAGTTTTCTTTCTAAAATTTGTCATGTATTTTAAATGTATGTATTTTATGTATTATAAATTAATCTTATGTATAGATAAAATGAAAGATTTACTTGTAGATAATTTTGAAAATATTGCTTTTTGTTAACCTAATTCAAAGATGTCTCTATTATAATTTAAATGAAACTTTATTTCATTCTTGTCAATTTTATATGAGAAAGATAATTTATTATCCATTTGCATATTCTATAATTTACGTATCTGTTAAATATATAAAAAATATAATATTTTATTATATAAATACCATAAAATCTATTCAATTAACCAAAAAAAAAAAAAAGAAAGAAAGAAAATAATATAGTTTTTCAAAAAAGAGGATATATAATATATATATATTACTTGCATTTCAACTTTATATTTTAAAAGAATCATTAAAATAAGATACAAAAAAATTATAAACATAAAATGTTATATAATATTTTTCTTATTGTAATTTTTATGTTTATATTCCATTTATATTTATAAAAATGATTTCATTTATTTTTAATAATATCATTTAATAGATTAATTTTTATTTTTCATCAATATATGGTGTAGATTTGTTAATACTTTTATGCCAATGTATCATTCTTAATAGTAAAATTGTAATAATTGAGTAAATGAAATATGTATAAAATTACCATTAATTATATCTTTAAATAATTTAAATAATTATAACATATGTAACTATATATGTTGTAATATCTTATTTACAACTTATAATCCAATGTTCAATTTCTTTTTTATGTTATCTTAATTTTTTGAAGTTGAATTTTTAATTTTATCATATTTAACTTTTTCTTTTAATTTTAATAAATTTTCCCAATTTAAATAAGTAATAATTTCATACAAAATAGAATAATTCCTTAATTATAATAACAACCTTAAGTAACATCTACCATTTATCTAAATTTCTTTCTTTCATAAATTAAATAAACTTAAGAAATAAAATGCATAAGGTGGTTAATGAAATGAATTATCAACATATCAGATAAATGTTGTGACGTGAATATGCAAAAAAGTGAAATTTGGGAACATATAAAATTTTTTTTTTTAGAAGCAAATCTAGCTAAAAATATAAAAAAAATGTATATACAAAGATGTGAATTAAAGGGAGTTATATTTTTTACAGAGAACTTCATTTACAACATGTACATATTTATATCTTCTTAATAGCTTGTATATACAATGAAAAAATTAAAAATAAGGAAAAATTAATTTTTTTTATTAAGGATGATTAATTTATTAATTGTCCTTTCAAATAAATTAATAGTATATTGAATAATCAAATTAATAAAAAACATGTAGAATAATAACTACTATTTTTATTCGTTATAAAATAACCTTATATAATTGATATATTCATTTCCTATCCATTGACATTTCTAGAGCAATGAACAGATATTAATAAAGAGCTTTTATAGTTTCCTCTACTAACTTAGTGAATTTAAACATAATTTTTCAATTCTATGAACTACTAAACTCTTTTATATATAGTCTACTTCATTGATCATTCCATGTTTTTAAAAAATATTTATTAACATTAATAAAAATCTTTGCTTTTATTAAAAATTTAATTCCTAATTGAACATTAACTTTTAATTCATATACATGATTTATAATGTTATGAATAATGTTCAGGAACTCAAATCCGCTGCTTTCAAGTTAGAAAATATAGGCAATTAATGAGACACATTAAATTATATAAATATTACAAACATAAAAATTTTATTATTATATATTGGTGGTTTATTAACTGGGTGTTCGTTACTTTGATAAAGCAATGAACAAACAAATTAATAAAGAGCACGTAGAGCTGACTCTACCGTTTTGATATATTTGTATATATTTTAAAATGCTTTGAACGAGTGATTCTTAATTATGTGATCCACTTCGTTTAGCATTCTTTAATTTCAATAGGCATTTATTTAGTTTAATAAAAATCTTTATTTTTATTTAAAATTTATATCCTTATTGAATATTGATCATTAATTAAATGTATATTACTTGTTTCTTTGTTAGGAGTTATGTTCAGCAATTAATATATATTGCTGTTGAATTAACAAACATAAACAATTAGTAACAATACATATTAATTATATAAATAATAATTACGTGAAAATTTTATTGTTATATGTGTAAAATTTTCTCTTACAAAATTCATAAAAATCATACTTTGTTTTCCAAAAAAAAAAAAAAACTGTTTTTTTTTTTATTTTTATTTATTGGTAACAAATATTTTTTTAATTGATTTTTTTTTTATCAATTTTTTTTTTTCTAACCGTCTTTATTTTTTGTTTTTATAAAAATACAAACAAAAAAATTGATTATTTGTTTTTTTTTTTTTTTTGTGTGTGCATTATGAACTATGTATTCTTCATATAAATAGTTTTTTTATTTTCCAAAAAGGATAATAAAGCCCTTTATTAACCATTTACAGAATGATAGAATTCATTTTAGAGCAATGTAGTCACATGCAGGATAATTAAAAAGTATATAAAGAGATATATATATGAGAACACTTATAATAACTTTTGCATGTAGAGAAATAAAATACAAGATAATTTGTGCTTAAAAGAATATTTTCTCAAATATAGAAGAACTATGTATAAAATAAATGGTATTTTTAGCATATTCATAAAAAAACATTACGTATGCGTTTTTATTTTTAAAAAAAAAAAGAACTTTTTTTTTATTTTTTTTGGGGAGATAAATAAATATGATAATTTTTATAGTTCTATATGAAAAATTACAAAGACGTCTTAAAAAGCATAAATTTTATAACAAATATATTAAGATTATTATGAATTGATGCATGCATAATATGTATATAAATATATATATAAGCTAATTTAATAATAAAAAGAATAGGTAGAAATCATTATACATACTCTCAATTGACTATTTAAAGCACTATGAAAGTATTTAAAAAGAGTATTAATAGAAAATAATAAAATTAAACATAAAATTAAAAAACAAATAAAAAATAAAAATATATTTCATTTATTTATTTTCTTTTGTGTGCATTTATTATTATAAAAAAAAAAAAAAATTTTATTTTTTTTTGGATTTTACTACTCAGACAACCTATGAAATTTTAATAAAAAATAAATGGCAATAATTTTATTTTTTATTTTTTTTTTAATAGAAAAAAAAAAATTTCATCTTAAAAATAATAATAATAATTTTTTTTTTTTTTTGGTGATGCGATGGGTATTGCTCTTTTTTTCATGAAAGATTAAATAACATAACGTTAGATATTATATTTGTATTGTATATATTGGCTAAAACAATTAATAAGAGAGTTAAAATTTAATTTAGTTAATAAAAATAAATGATTTATGCAATGATTTATTTTATTCTAAATAAAATAATTATAGTTATATTTATATATATTTAATTTATTTGTTCAACATTAGAAAAATTATTATACAATAAATTAATAAATCAATATTCTGACGAGATCATTGAATGGGTGAATTAAGCAATCAATAACTAAGCATCAAGCAATGTTTAAGTTTATTTCTTAACAACCATTCAAAAAGTTTAATAATTCTGTTTATTACTTCTAAATTTTTTTCTATTGTTTTACTTAATTTTCGAGTTTCTTTCCATTAAATTTTCTTTTCTATACTCTATTTATAAATATTGCTTTTTTATTCATTATCACCATTTTTTTATTAATAAATTAGTGTTGTAAAATTTCCTTATTATTTTTTTCTATCCACCTCCTATGAATATCTTCACAGTGTTTTTTCCATATAATTTTTTGCATTTCTAACATGGGATTTCTAATTTTGTCCTCATTCTTTTTTGCTATCATATCTTCATATACTTCTCTTATGTATTCCTTTTCTTTTCTTTTCATTTCCAGCATTAACTCTATAAACCATTTTTTCTTTTTCCATTTTTCTATTTCTACTTTTTCAATATCTAATATAGCATTCCTACTTCTTTTTTTTTTTATTTCCAATATGATAACATTATTTTGTATAAAATTTTCTTTTATAAAATTCATCATAAAAACTATTTCGTTTCCTAAAAAAAAAATTCTTTTCTTTTTCTTTTTTTTTTTTATTTATTTATTAGTAACAAATATTTTAAAAAATTGATTTTTTAATCAATTTTTTTCCTGACGATCTTTGCATTTTTTTTTATCAAATTTTTTTCCTTACAATCTTTGTACCTTTTTTTTAAAAAAAAAATTACAAACAAAAAAGAAATCATCAATATTTTTTTTTTGTGTGTGTGCATGACCAACTTCGTATTCTTCATTTAACTAATCCTTTTATTTTCCAAAAAGGTTAATAAAGCCTTTTATTAACCTTATATATACTAAAAGTTGATTATGCATGAAAAAATCTAATGGCTTTCTAACTATAGATCCTTAGATAGTTCTAAAAGGACATATTTCAGTTATTGTCAAAAATAGAATGACAGAAAATGTATCTCATAATGAAACATTTAGGGAATTTACAAATAGTTTAAGAAATATGGTATCTATGATGGTAATTAAAATAGGTCAAAGGAAATAGATACATATAAAATAGATAATGAGAATAGGAAGTTGATGTTATTGGGAATAAGGTATTAAGTAAATGTTATTAATGTGTATAGAAGGATCATAATAAGAATATTTGTATACAAAGCAAGAAACGATGTATTAATTATAATGTTATCGCTATTTGGAATCAGAATGTAAAAGTAAAATAATTGGGGATAAAGAAAATGAAATTAAGGGCATAGCAATGGATAGAAGGTATGATATTATTTTTAAGTTGAAAATTAAACTAATTTGAAATAGATTGAATTAATGAGAAATATTTGAATAGTGGTTAACAAAAGGCTTTATTAACCTTTTTGGAAAATAAAACGACTAATTATATGAAGAATACATAGTTGGTCATTCACACAAAAAAAAAAAAGATTTTTTTTTTAATGAAGCGAAATTAAATTAATTTTGTAAGAGAAAATTTTATATATATAATAATAAAATTTTCACGTAATTAAAATTTAAAAAAAAAAAAAAAAAAAAAAAAAAGGGGGGGAAAAGAAAAAAAACATATTAATTTATATATCAAAATATTCAATTATCATATCTTTAGTACCTTAAATTTTGTCTTTTTTTTTAATTCGTATTTTAATACCTTTTTTTATTATATTAAAAATAATATATAAATACTAATTCTAGAAATTATAATTAAATTGTATTAATAATTTTTTAATTAATAGTCATTTTTCAAGTAGTTCTTATTTAGAATTGTTCTATTACCAAATTTAATTTTACAAATATAAATTTACTAATATTTCTTGTTTAATTTTAATATATATGTATATATATTAAAACTATTTTATTATTTGACACATTTTAAAAATTTTTATTATTTTCTTTTTATAATTATTAAAAGAAGTAAAAAAAGAAAATATTTAAGCCATATAAATTATTTTAAATGTAAAAAAAAAAAAAAAAAGTTTACTTTTTTTTAAAATATTCTTTTTTTTTTTTTGCCATATTTAAAATTTTTTTTTTTTTTTTTTTTTTTTTTTTTATGTATGATATTGTCAAATGAATATTTTTGTGAATTATATATAATTATTTGATAAACAAAAATATACTGATCTATTATTTTAATAAAGAACCCTGAACCCTGAACCCTGAACCCTGAACCCTGGAACCCTAATACCCTGAACCCTGAACCCTGAACCCTGAACCCTAAACCCTGNGCTAAATCTTTTTCTATTAGTTTTGGATATTTTTCTTTATCTTCTTCTATAAATTCTTCTAAACAGATTTCTAAAAATTTTCCTCTATTCAATAACCACTCCTCTTTTCTATATTCCTCCAATATTACCATATATATTTCTATTAAAGTCTTACATTTTAATTTTTTTTTGTTTATTTTAGAATTACTCTTTTCATATGATTCCTCTAAACTATTCCTTTCATATTTTCTCATTTTTTCTTCTCCCTTTTTGTTATACTCTGTTAGTGGTTCACAACTTTCTATGGTTTTTACATTTTCTTTTTTTTTTTCTATACTATTGTTATCAATTCTACTTTTATATTCTTTCTCTTCATTTTCATGTACTTTAACTAACTTTGTAAACCATTCTTCATTGTTGTCATTTTCTTTCCACTTTCTACAAATATTTTCACAGTGTTTTTTCAATATATTGCTTTGTCTTTCTAAGATAATATCCATTACTCTTCCTTGATCCCTTTTTGCTAAAATTTCTTCATTTATCTCCATCATATATTTTTCTTCATTATTTTTCCATTCTAACATTAACTCAATAAACCATTTTTCTTTTTTCCATTTTTCTATTTCATCTTTTTCTTTTTCTGATATAACATTCCAACTTCTTTCTTTTCCTATTTTTTCTAATTTATTTGTTTCTTCGTCCAAATTTTTAAACTTTCTTATCTCTTTTATGTTTGTTTTATAAAATTCTTCTTCTTTTTGCAACTCTTCTTTTATACATTCCTCTAATACCATCATATAAATATCTAACAAAATTCTCCTTTCCAAATTTTTCTTCATTTCATTTTTATCTATTCCATTATTTCTTTCTTTCTCTATTTTTTCTTCCTTTAAAATTTCTTCAATTTCTTCTTTTTCATATTCTTCGAGCAATTGTACAAACCATTTCTGATTTTTGTATTCGTATGAATGCTTTATTTGCCATTCTATCCATTCCTTCCATATTTTTTTTTTTTTACTTAGAATAAAATTGTTTAATCCCAATTCTGACATTTTTTTAATTTCATGTCCTTCTAAATATTGTAAGTGTTTTTCTTGTTCTTCTTCCCATTCTTTCTTCAAATTAATAAACCACTCTTCATTTTTATATTTCTCTAATATACTACTATTTTTATCTATTGTATCGGTATTATTTTCTTCTTTTATTTTCATTACAAAATTATTTCCCATTTCTTTTAAATTAGAATTTTCTCTATCTTTTTCGATCTCTTCTGAGCAAATTTTAAAAAATTCGGTTTTATTCAATTTCCATTCCTCTTTTTTATACTCAAGTAATGCTATCATATGTATGTTTATCCATGTATTCCAAGTACATACTTCATCATTAAGTGATCTTTTTTCTAAATTTTTCATTTCATTTTCACATGTAGATTTTTCTTTTTGCAAGTTTATTTCATTTGCTTTTTCCTCATTTAATGTGCCATTCCTAATATGCCATACAATATGAACAGGGTCTTTTTCTAATATATTTTTATTTAATTCATCTTTAATTTCATTTCTAGATTTATTTACATTAAATTCAATTTCTTCAATTTCATTTCGAGGATCATCTTGATATAATTTTTCTCCCAATATCGATTCATTTTCGTGCTTCTTTGATATTTCTACAACTTCAGGAATGCATTTATTTTCATTTTCCATATACATTCCTTCATGTACTTTGGATTTCTTCATTTCTTCATACCTCAAATCTATTTCATTTTCAATATAGGTTCCATCATGTGTTTTGGATTTTTTGATTTGTTCAAATTTCAAATCTTTGTCATTTTCCATGTACGTTTCTTCGTGAGCATTAGATTTCTGGATTTGTTCATACATCAAATCTATTTCATTTTCCATATAGGTTCCTTTATGTGCTTTGGATTTCTTCATTTTTTCATGCTTCAAGTCTTTTCCATTTTCCATATACATTCCTTTATGTGCTTTGGATTTCTTCACATGTTTATACTTCAAATCTTTTTCATTTTCCACAATCATATCACATAGTGGTATTTCTTTTTCATGGTATAAGAACGAATAATTTTCATTATTTATTGGTTCATTCTTTATATTGTTTGTATCCATTAACAACGGTTCCCTAGTTATTTTCTTAATCTTTTTTCTTGCTTTTTTTTTTTTTGACTTCCTATTACGAATCCAAGATCCAATAGGAGTACACTATAATTCAAATTAAAAAATAAAAAATTATAAAAATTCTTCATTAATGTAATTATGATTTTAAATATATAAGTTTCATCATATTTAAATGTTAATTTTATCTTACTTTACAAATAAGAACCAAAAGAAAAATAATTCCCAAAATAAATATACCTACTGAAACCATTGGTATTAATAAATTACCTTTAGGTGTAAGAGTAGGCGTAACTTCGGTAGGGTCACTTGATGTTGTTGGCGTCAAAGTATCTGGAGCAATCGCACTTGGACATGGTGAAGTGTTTCCAGTACAGTTTATTCCATTTACATGTTGTTGAACCTGTTTAAGAGGGGCATGTATAATTTGTTGGTTCTGCAGTTGGATACTATCTGTCTGATTTGAAGATAAATTGTTATTTGTTGTATGAAAAAAAGCAGTTGGAGTTGTGAGAATAGGTGTTTTATCTAGAGAATTCGAAAGTGCAGTTGGAGCTATAGTATCAGGCATAAGAGTTGTAGTGTTAATTGCAAGAGATGTAATGTCTGTTTCAGGAGATGCAACTCTGTTTGTAAATGGTTCAATGGTAATAGTAGAATTTTCAATGGTATTTGTCAAAAAAGGTGAAGAACTATCTGTTAAAGGTGAGGTTGTAGTTTTATGAGTAACATCATTAGTAGGATGAATAGGCATATCATTTGTACGTGATGTAGAATTATTTGTAGATGGCAAAGTGGTGATTTCAGGAGTAGATAAAGGTAGTGGAGGTGTAGAATCATCTGTAGGCGTCGTAGTCATAGTTGTAAGAGAAGGTGCAATATCAGGAGGAGAAATAGGATCAATTGAAGGAGATGCAGTATCATTTGTAACATATGTATTGCCATTTGTAGATATATTTTTATTTACAAAAGTTACAGTTTCAGAAGGTAAAGAAGTTTCAGGAGATTTAGTTGGTGTTGTAGAAGGTGTAATATTATATGTAAATGTCTTCATAGTAGCAATAGAATATTCATTGGTCGATGTAGCAGATATTTCTCCATGTAAAGGTGTAACTGTAGGTGTGACACTACTTGTAAGAGATACAGTGTGATTATTAGAAGGTATAGCTATATTTGTAGGAGACATATCCTCAGGGGAAGATAAAGATGCAGTTGTAGGAGGCGTAGTGATAGTAGTAGAAGGTGTAATATTATTTGTAAATGACTTCATAGTAGTAATAGAATATTCATTGGTCGCTGTAGCAGATATATCTCTAGGTAAAGGTGTAACTGAAGGTGTGCCACTACTTGTAGTAGAATTTGAAGGTAATGTTTCAGTTGCAGGAGATGTTACAACCTCAGGGGAATGTGATGATGAGGTTGTGTCAGATATAGTATTAGTATTAGTATTAGAATGTATTGTAACTTTTGGAGTTAAAGAATTGGATTGTGTTGAGTTTTCTGGAGAAATTGTAAATGCAGTTTCTGGGTTAATTTTATCTGTAGTAACTGATGTCTCTGATGTGTCGTTTCTTAATGTATTTTCAAAGGGACTGTTACCATATACGTTATTAACACTAGTCGTATTGTTACCCAATGAATCTGTAGCAGTATCATTTGTAACAGATGAATTGCCATTTGTAGATATAATTTTATTTACAGAAATTACAGTTTCAGAAGGTAAAGAAGTTGCAGGAGATGTTACAATATCAGGGGAATGTGATGATGAGGTTGTGTCAGATATAGTATTATTATTAGAGTGTATTGTATCTTTTGGAGATAAAGAATTGAATTGTGTTGACTCTTCTGGAGAAATTGGGGTTGCAGTTTCTGGGGCAATTTGATCTGCAGCAACTGGTGGTACTGAGGTGTCGTTTGTTAATGTATTTTCAAAGGGACTGTTACCATTTACGTCATTAACACTAGTCGTATTGTTACCCAATGAATCTGTAGCAGTATCATTATGTAATACAACAGGAGTTACAGCTGTAGGTTGTAAGTTATCTGGTGATGTATTTGTATTATTTGAAGTTTCATTAGATTTATTTTGAGTGCTACTTGAAGAAAGCCAATCTAAATTATATGGGTCAGTTGTATTTTGTCTCTCTTTAATTTGATGAATTAATGTTGTCATATTACATTGAATACCAGTGTCTTCTAACTCAGTATTTTGCAATGTATTACTATGAACATTCCATATTCTAATAGAATCATTTATATATAATTGATCATCATATAATTCATTTTCCGCCATATTAACGAATTGTTTTCCTCTCTTATATATATACATGCTCCATTTCCCGCAATTACGTTCAGATCTATGATTCTCGTAAACCCTGAAATGGTAATGAGACATATCATTAGTAATATTGAGAAAACTTAACCGTCTGTCTTCAATAATTTGAGTTTTATTAGTACTATAACTATCATCATTGAGTTGTGCGTATGTTAATGATGTGGGTACTGGTAGATCATTATATTCATAAGGTCTAGTGCATTTATCATTTTTATTCAAAATAGCACAATAATCAAACGTTGCTGTACTACACGTTGATTTCATTTTTTCATCTATACTTGTTTGAAAAGATTTTTGTTTCTCTTTCCATTTTTCAACAAGACATGAGATATTATATTTTTCTTTTTCACTTAATAGCAAATTAACATAGTCCATTCCTCTCCAATTTATGTATGAGGATGCCTTTTTACATTTTTCTGTGTCATTCGTAATATTATTGTCTTCAAGATAAAATCGAAGTTCATTACCAGTATCATCCATAAATGATTCAATTTCTGTTTTGAGCTTACTTGTTTCACTAGGGGAGTTATCTTCATTTTCTTTTGTTTTACCATTTTGTTCATCTAATATACAGGATGTTTCTTCTGCTTGTGATAAAAATCTTGCCTTCTTTAGGATGGATTTTTTTCTCATGATTGTAATATCATCATAAAAGGCTTTCTCAAAATATTTTGCAGTAGTATACAAAAATTGATTTATTAAAGAAAAGAAATTTTTATGTGAATTATAGATAAATTTATAAATTTCAAGATAATCAAAAAGTAATGTGTATGTATGTATTTTATACTTTAAATTTATGAAATGTTAAAAAAATATTCGTTAATTCAATTAAGGAAGAAAAATAATTTAATTTGAAAAAAAAATTGAATATAGATATTTTTGTTATTTTTTAGCATCATTATACACTTGATTTACATTAGGAAATTATTATAATTTCTACATAGAAATGACAATACTTGTACTTATGTGATAACTATATTATAAATTTTTTTATATTTGAAATTGGCATTTTATATAGTATAAGATATTAATTTAGAGTAAAAGGAAATTTTTTGTTTGCTTTTTTAGTTGAATATTAAATTTTTAATTTCATGTATCAATAATGTCATTAGTTTTCAAATAGCAAGAAAAAATATAATTAATAAAAGAAAAGTTTAATTTATAAAATTAAAATTAAAAAAAAAAATAAATAAAATAATTGATATGGTAAAACGTCATTATATGTTATGAAATTATAATTAAAAAAAAAAAATTAGTATAAAAAAAAGAAATTATTTTAAGTGTTTTTTCTGTGTTTTCTTAAATTTTTTATATAATCATATGATTACGAATGTAAGTTTGAAATAATGATATGATTATTAAATTTTTGTATTTTGAATAAATAATTTTATTATTATATAATATTTTTAAAGATTTTTTTTGAATAGTAAATTTATATAATTAAAGAAGTAAAATATAGTTTATATATAAATAATATAATGTACTTAATAACTTATAATTCTTATTATAAAGTATCTAAATAATATTTTTATAAAATATAAAATATGTAAAAAAAAAAAAACATATATATATATACACGTAAATTCTATAAGTAGTAGTTATAATATAATATTTTAATTTTTCATATATATTTTCATAAAAAAAATATTTTACGTTTAATAGAAAAATGACTTACAATTATAAAAATCTATATTGTTTGTTGTTAAATTATTAAACTTTAAACGAAGATTAAAGTTATTCCAATTTTTTTTTACTTTAATATTTAAATTTTTGGTGACAAATTAGTGCATTACAATTTAGTTATATTTTTGAAGAAATATATATATATAAAAAAAAAAAAGCTAAAATTGAACTTAATAAGTAATGCACTTATTTTTTCATTATAACTATATTAATCTTTTTGTTTTTTTATTAAGCGATTTTTATTTCGTAATATATGTATATGTACTTGACATTCTTTGAGATATTATTTCATTATTTTAGAATTTTTTACTATGAATACAAGAAAATTTAAATTCTTTTTTGATTATTTTTTTTAAAATNAATATAAATTACAATGAATGATTTACTGAGAAAGTCTGTGATCAAAGTAAATGTGTTTTATTTTTTTTTAGCATTTTACATGATTTTTATGGGAGTTGATTATTTTTTTCGCAGAATATTATAGGTGAAACCTATTTTTTTATGAATGTTTATGATTATATTTATAGTTTTTCATTATTAAAAATTTAATAATTATTTACCACTTTTTATAATTCTTTTTATTTTTATTTATTTATATTATTATTTTGACATTATGATTAAAAATGAATAAGTATATTAAAAAAAAAAAGAGAAGATAACAGATAAATTAATTATTTGAATATTATGGCATGGTATAAATTTTATAAAAATTTTATTGTTGAATTTTAGAAAATTTATTTGGGATATGCAAGTTGTGAGGAAAAGGATGAAGGTTATGTTTATTGAGTAAAAATTTATTAAGTTTTTAGTTATTAGAAGTTTGTTGGTTTAAATTTTTTGTAACTTTATTTGTTGACTATGGATTAATTAAATTCTGGTTATCGTTATATATTTAGTACTTATTTTTAAGATTATTTATTTTAAGGAAAACAATTTTATTTTTATTTATTATACATTTGTGCATGTTTTATTTACTGGATGTTCGGTAACTTTATTAGAGTACTGAACAAACGAATTAATAAAGAGCATATAGAGTTGCCTCTACGGTTTACTAGTTATTTATTATGAGTTACATTCAGTAATTAATATATATTGCTGTTGAATTAACAAGCATAAACCATTATTTACAAATATCAAAAATTATACAAATATTAATTACATGAAAATTTCATTGTTATATGTATAAAACTTTCTCTTACAAAATTCATTAAAATCATAATTCATTCCAAAAAAAAAAATGTTTTTTTTTCTTTTTTTTTTTTATATTTATTTATTGGTAACAAATATTTTTCTAATTGACTTTTAATCAATTTCTTTTCCTGACGATCTTTGTATTTTTTTTTTTTTATGAAAATTTTTCCTGACAGTCTTTGTACTTTTTTTTTAAAAAAAAGTACAAACAAAAAAAAAAATCATCAATTTTTTTTTTGTGTGTATATGTATGACGAACTTCGTATTCTTCATTTAACTAATCTTTTTATTTTCCAAAAAGGTTAATAAGGACTCTTATTAACCATAATCCACCACCATGGGAAGGTAATTGTTATTACTTAAAATTTGTTATATTTGGCTTGTCTTATTACATCAAGTCCTTTTTGTACTAAATTTTCAATTTGCTTGTCCTGATTATCGTTGATATCATACGTTATAATGCTACTAGTTTATGAATATGTAGGTAATCCTTAGACTTTAAATCATGCGTCAGATTTGATTTCCGTTTATTCTTATTTGTAACTTGTATTAAATTGTGCAGTTTCCTTTCATATATCTCCCTGGTTTTGTTACTCAACAATTTTATTTTTGACATTGGAATTTGTACTTCTTTACCTCTATAATATATAGGTAATGCTTTCAGAATTCTGCTTTCAATTTTAGTTACTCTGTGAGGAAATGACCAATATGGTTTATATTGTATATTTCTACTATAGTGTTTCATTTGATTCTTTTCGTATTCCGATAATTCGTATGAGATAATGTCTTCAATCTTAATATTTTTACTTTCAATTATAGGTTTTCTTTTGATTTCATTAACATCTTCATGTATTTTTTTCCATCAATCGTTTAAGTATATAATTCTCATTTCAGAAGTTGTTTCCGGTACTAATTTTGCAAATTCTGGACAGATACAATTCATTCAAAACATAGCAAAATAACGTTTTTCTCCTAGGGCTCCATGAGGTGTATTGTTATATATTAGTGTTGCATTTTGTGCTATTTCTTCAAAAGGTATATCTTTTTCTTCATTTAAAGTCTTAATGATATAATCTAAGCTTTTATGAGAGCTTTCATTTATACAGTTTCCCTGTGGATAATATGTGCTGGTATGATACAATTTAACCTGTATTTCTTTTGTAACATAGTCATGAAATTCTTGACTAGTATAAATTGAATCGCGATCTGTTAAAATGCTTATAGGGCATCCAAATATGGGTACCCATGTTTTTTTTATAATGTTAATTGCGTCCATAGCATTAGGTGTTTTATTAGTTATATCATTTTCCATAAAACGTGAATGATGATTTATTGCTACTTGTATATAGTATTCTGTACCTTTCCATGTTTTAGGTTCTATAATATCTAATGAAACCATATCAAACACATTCGATTTTGATAAAGCTTGGTTATTATTAGGTTTAAATTTCCGATTAGCATTACTTGACTAACTAAACAATTTGTAACGTATTCTTCAATATCTTTACTAATATTGGACCACCAAAAATGTTTTTGTATTTTCTTTAGTGTTTTATTTACTCCACATTGTCTTGCGAATTTACTACTATGAAACTAATACATTATATGATTTCTTTATTTTTCTAATATATATAATCCTCTGTTCTATAGTGAACTGGGAAATCATCCTTTCATACTGCGTCTCTCGGTATGTTATCTTTGTCTTTTCTTACTTCATTTGCTATATCCTCGCATGAAGGTATAACATATAAATCTTCATATACTTCTTGAGGTTTACTACAATATAAGGTCATGTAATTAGGAAGATCTGTTTCATCTTCTATTTATATAGCGATCCAATCAGCTAAGCTATTTTGAACTCCTTCAATATGTTCAAATTCTGAGTTAAATTCAGATGGTCTTAACTTCCATCGATATAATTTTCCAGTATTAATTGAACCCATTCTAATAATACCTTTACAATATGTTTTAATTAAGGTCTTAGATCCTTTAATATAATAATAGAATGTTTTGCATGCTACTACTATAGCAAATAATTCTTTTTCAACCTACTCCATCTTTGTTGTACTTCATTTAAACTCTTCGATGTGTAATGAATGAATTTAGTTTAACCTGTGTTCTTATCAATTTTAGTCAATATAGCTCCTATAGAATAATCTGATGCGTTAGTATAAATAGTATATGGTTTTCCTAATTCTGGAAATGAAAGATAAGTAATTTCGGTGATTTTTTTATTGATTTGCTCAAAAGCCTTTGAATGCTCTTCTTTTCATTCAAATTTCTGTTTCTTAGTTAGCAATGGAACTAGTTTAGAAGTCCACTCTGAAAAAATCTTAATATAATTCCTGTAATAATTAGCAGCTCCTAAGAATGATCTCAATTGCTTTTTAGATTTATATCGCTCTGTATCAATAATTGTTTTCACCTTATCTAATGAAGGTCTTATACCATTTCGATCTATCTCTTGACCAAGATATGTTACAGATGTCTTAAAAAGTTCACACTTTTCTGTATTTATTCCTAAATTATTATTACAGAGTAATACAAATACTCTTTTTAATACTTCTATGTGTTCAAATAGTGTTTTTATAAGAATGATGATGTCATCAATATACACAAATATATAATTCACTTGAATTAATTTCATAAAAATATCTTCCATTTTCGTTGAAATTGTGTAGGACTTTTTTTTAGTCCAAATGGCAATATATTAAATACAAATGTTCCTCTATTCGAACTATAAATCTATTATATGGTTT